TCAAAGAGTTTTCTTTTTGAAAAATTTACATTCTCTTGCGTCGCAGATGTCGCACTTTGATCATTTGTCACCGTTACAACTTGTGGCTTAACATGAATTTTTTGGATTGAGCTCTATCGGATCAAGGAAAACTGCGGTCACTACTGAGAAACAGCGCGCATTTTAGACTATCGGTAGCGACATACGGTTTATCCTTTTTCGTATCGGCTAAGAGGACTGTTGGTACGACCATGTAAGAAGTCTGTATTCACAAACAGTGGATATAATGACCCTTGCAAATCATAATCGCTCTTACGTAAGAATGACGATGAAATGCGCAAGACATAATCTACCGCATCTAACTTACCGACAAGGTTCAGTTGTGGTATTGATGAGGGATGCATACAACTCAATGGGCCGAAACAACCTTTTTCAGTAATTACCTTCCACTATTTTAGATTTATTTCACTTCATCTACATTCTATGGATTATTTCACTAAACAAGTATTTCTTCAATATTTCTTATGTTATTTTTATTTGTCTCTATTTCTAGTCTACCCTTCAAGCAACTGATATGAATGTTCTACCGCCATTCCCATCGTTTTCTTTCTCTTTTATTATTGTTATTATCACTATATTTGTCATTTAGGTTAGTATTATTTACTGGACAAAGGCTGTTCTTGTGTGTGTCACGAATTTTAGATATTCGGATTAAACAGTTTTTTATTATTCTCCAGATAGTGTATATATTTCATTAGTAAAAAAGAAAAAAAAAGACTGTGCCTTGTGGTCGAAACTAAGTGCCTAGATAACTGAAAAGATAAATCTCTCAAGAGCTTCGTTCATTATTAAGCTTCTTATTCCTCCACGCGCTGAATTTTGCCTTAACTGCTTCTTCCCTTCCCTGCTAGCTTTTTCCAACGAACCTCATTCATCAAAGCAACGCTATGTTTTGATTATTAAGTGCATTACGAAAATGTGTATTTCAGTCCAATTCATTAGAAATCAAAAGCAGTCAGACACATTTTTAAAGCTATTTAGTCAGTCAGTGAAAAGGAATATCTAGTGCTAGCAGTGTTAATAAGATGTACACAGGTAAGCATATTCCAGGCCTTCCGCCTTCGAGTTGCAAATCTCTAGTTGGTACCCACTGCCCGCATGCGTGCCACTTTTTCGCGGGCTATTAGAGTCATTACCACTCAGTGATACATCGTGCCGTTTTGCTGTAATGAAAACGAACACATATCCCAGCAAGAATGTTGCGACATACTGCTTTTGTCGAATTTCATTTGCTCATATGATCGCAACAATATTTTGCCAGCCGCTCATCTGGCTGGACATGTGACTGTTTGTATACGGATTTTGGTGAAAAAATGAGAAAACTAGCGCCGACAATACCAGAACTTCCGGCACTAATTCGGATGGGTTGCACACCGGCCTTAATTGCC